TTTGAATGAATGAATCAAGATTTTTGAACAGGTGGTAAAAATTGCCTTTATCCCACTGTCAGCTTGGTGTGCACGAATCGAAACCTTGGACACGGGGAAACCCAATGATCCCATACCTAAATTTACTTTTATTTAGATTCATGCACCGATGACTGCCCATTTGGCCAAAGTGTTTACATGGGCATTACCCCACAATTCAGAGAGTTGGATTGTGGCCTGGCCACTTTAAGCAGCGATGCTTATCTAGGGGTTTCAGTCCCGGGATTTTATTCCCGGGAATTCCCGCGAAACGGGATCCCGAACTCCCGGGATTTGAAGAATTGAAATCCCGGGATTTCGGGATTTTTTAATTTGTCATTCAAGATTGAAAATGCCCTTCTATTTGACTTTTATTAGCGGTTTTACATAATTTGGGGTTATATTATTGGTAAGAGAAAGTTTCGACGAGCATAACCAGTCAAAATTCATTCTGAACTCCAAGATTAAGCTTTATACATCATGTGAAGCCACATTTTTTTATATGTCGTACATAAATATATTCAAATCTTCTAGTTCGCAAGTAAAATTTTAAATATAAACTGGAACTTAAAATTTTCTAATTTCGATGTCAGATTTAACCTTGAAGGAATAAAGAAACCTTACCCTCGGTATAATTATAGAATCTGAAATCAGTTAAACTCATAAAAGCTATGTAGAGGGTGTTCCGGAAGTAATCCAACTTTGGTCAAATGCACATAGAAACTCAACGAATGAATTTTTTAAAGTCTAAAGTAAAGAATTTTGGTCAGAAAGGGACAAAGGTTAAAGCTAATTAAGTTTTGCTTCCAATGGTCCGTACACCCCTTCCGCCAAATTTGGAGACGTTTTTGTTGGGCGCTCACAATTAGTGCTTCGCCACTGTTTTTGGTCACCTTTTTTGAGATTTTTGACCACATGTGTTGAAATAAGTTCAAATTTTTGACTGAAGTTTTTCGATTACAATATTTTTTCTAGGATAGGAACTAAAATTTTTCAATAGGTCTTGTATTTGACAAATTTGGGAACGTTGTTCACCTCTCCCATGTTAATTGCATTTGATCCGTTTTAAGGCGGAGCGTGATACTTTGGCTTATATTTAATTTCCAGTTTTGCATAAATGGTTTTCTTGAAGGTGGGAGAGTTGTACTATGTGCAAATAAAAGCATTTTGATAATCTGAGCAGTAAATCGTCTTGTACAGGACGATCAATTTTGGTTAATTTTAATTACTTCAGGTCAAGGATTTTTTCTGGCCTCCTGCTTGCTACTTTTATTTTACTCTTGACTATATTTATAAGCTTCTAGAACCTTCTAGGATTTGATGTCCAACTTCTAAGCTTTCAAATAATGTATGGTGTTCTGTGAGAACTTCAAGTACTTCAGCGAATGTCGCTCCGACATAACAAATTTCTATCTACACGAAGTTTATTACTTCCGGGGCTGCCACACGAATGTACCGGCCAGATATTTTTTGCGATTAGTCGTTTTTTGCAGCTCATACCTTAGTATAACACAACAAATCGTCACTTTTGGAATTTCTTATTTTTTAAAGTGAACACAGCTCAATTTCTTGGAGCGCGTAACCACTTTTTCGAGGTAGTGGCAGACGATGGTTGCGAGTTGCTTGGTGGTATTTGACCTCATTTTGGAACGGATAGAGATATCGACTTCTGGTTTTCGGATTCTACTAGATAAATGTGTGGACTACAATATTCACCCAATTTCGAATTTGGGGCAAATTGATACCCTTGCATATATGCATTTTACCAAAGTTGCATTACTTCCGGAACACCCTCTAACATGTTAGCAGTGCATAGTTTCGAATTTTAGTCGATCAATTTAAGGCACAATGAAAGGCTGAACGAGGTAGTTCATATATGTGAACTTGAAATTTTTGAATGGCCAAATTTTATGTACAATTGTAGTTTTTGTATAATAGTACCCAAACAATAAACGCGTAAATTTATTCATTTCAGGTTAAAATGCCGGCAAATTGTTGATTAATTATTTACCCATAAGTTTTCTGGAATGAAATTATTTAAATTTTTCTTGCCACCTCTCCAAGACAGAGGGCAAAAAATTATATAGGCTACAACATTACACCGACATTTTACATTTACCATAGCAGGCAAAGCAATATAATCGCTAATTTGTGCTGCTATCATATGCATTTTGAGAAGGCCAGAAAATTCCATACCTTATAATAATAATTACGGATGCACAGATCCCGAAAAAAAACATAAGTATATAGGTCCAGCAGTATTATGAATATGCATATTCTGTCCTTTTTGAAGTCATGTACCCTTTTGTATGCTCAAATTCGACTTTCTGGGCTAATGAGGTACTGTTTGAATTTCGGGAAAAAATCCCGGGATCTTGCACGGCTAAAAACGGGATTCCCGATTCCCGGGATTTAAAAAATCCTCCGGGATTGGAATCCCTATGCTTATCAGTCCATCCGTTGGGTAGTACATATGCTTGCTAGCTTGTAGTTATGCGTGTTTACAAGTGTGAGTATCTATACATAAATACATATTTAATACGTTGTTAGACAAATTTAAGTATAGCACGGAATTTATTTAATGAATTAAAAATAATAAATCATAAACAAATCATGTACATATACAGGGTGGTTTAAATGTCAGGTTACAATGGTAAATTTTTCAATGGGAAAAATTCGCAAATCCCCATTAGTTACCGAAATTTTGCCTCTGAAATTCAATATTTTAAGAACTTCGTCATCAGTGATCCATAAGTTTTGATAAAAATTAATAAAAATCTCAATCCCAAATCCGTAACTATATAATGGAAATTTACGAATTTTTCCCTTTGAAAAATTTTCCATTGTAACCTGACATTTAAACCCCCCTGTACATACATACATACATTGGCACCCTAACCAGATTATACTAATTTTTTGCCATAATATGCAAGAATCCTTTGGCAAAGAAGGTTAAGTATGTATTTACCAGACTAGGCTCATAATTCGGAGCGTATATTTATATAAGGTACGTTGTGTTGAAAAGCATATAGTTTGTGTAATTAATTTTAGACCTTTTGCTAGATATTAGCTGTATGTAAAAAACTATGTACTTCAAAACTGAGTCGATTAGAATATTTATACAGAGGGTGTGCGAAGGTTTGGTGCAAATATTTAACAATTGTTCTCGCTTACAAGACTACCGAGTCCTTTTCACTGCTAAACTTTTGCGCGATATGTTGGCCCATGGTGGTCCTATCGTGGTTGGCCCTTTACTAATTATAATTAGAAACACCTACTTCAAGCAACTTTGTGGGCAAGATGGCATTAATGATTAATGCCATCTTGGTAATTAATGGCAACACATTTGGGTGGAAATAACCCCCACCGGCCAACCACTTGACCGATCATGCCCATCTTCGAACTCATCCTTACTATTTACCCGAAGATGAAGTATGCAAAATTTGTAATCGATAGCTTTTGTTTAAAGAGAGTTATCGTGCCTTCAGATGGACGGACGGACAGACATCTTGACAAATCTATAAGGCCATCTTAAAAGGCCTAAAAAGGCGTTAACAGGGAAAGATTAGATTAAAGCCAATACGCACTGTTTATTTTGAAACTTCTGTAAAATTGGTGTCGAGATAGAAATTTCTGACAATCCAGGCAGCAAACTGCTGCAAATCACATCACCAGTTTCACGTATTCTAATTCCAAAGTCCTACATATACTTGGATATTCGGTTCGAGAACCTGAATAAAACTCCCATCGAACATATTCCTCCAGCTAGAAATCAATCTATTCGACTGAAATTTGACAGAATAATTAGCTGAATCAAAAGAATGTCTTGGGAAAATAAAAATTTCATCAGCTTCAAGCTAATGCGACTTGAGAACCTTATTAAATTGGTGAATCCCACAAAAGTGTTACACTAACCGTGGTTTATAGTTGCAGTTAGTGTTGCCGATACGTTCTAAATGAGTTGAAGACGGTGTGGCCTACAATTCGCCAAGTTGTGGAACATTGAATTTCTGAGCATTTTCGAACTCCCAATAAATTTAGGATTAAATCGTGCAAATTTCAAATAAATACAAAATTTTTAACTATTGCAATTTGAGACCAAACTTTTATGAGCCGTAACTAAGCAACAAATGAGCCCTAAATGACTTGTAGCAAAGTCAGCCCACAAGTTACCAATTTGAAAGTTTTTGTGTTGTAATAATCTATATCATTGCACCCTGAATTTATCTAACAGTCCAAAATGCTTATAATTTCAATTTTGCACAAGATGGTGACTTATTTATTACAGTAAATTTAAGGCAACTCATGTTCAACTCATTTGGAACTCATCGGGAACACTAGTGTGACTTAAGTTGTTTAATTTATTAGTGATGGTTTTAGGATGATCGGTACGAAATATGACTGATACGTGCACTGTTAATATTTGAAAATTATTTAGTATTTTATCAAACACTGTTACTCATCAACTAGATCTTTATTTAGAACTCAATCCCAGCATTTTCATTTACATCATTGTCTATTTACATATCTATGCACGTATCATAGTACGCAATTTCTTTTCTATAATCAGATGCATTTATGTATGTATGTATGAAGAAAATATAATACACGCAATTGTAATTAATTAAGGCCCTTCAGGTAATTAATTACCGTGTAAATATATGTTCGGAAAACGTTCAGGTTTAAGCAAATAATGGTCCCAAAACAACAGTAATTTGTAATTTGTAAGTTTCAACCCTACATATAATTGAAAAGTATTAGTTACTCAAACCTAATACAATATTCACTAATGACTAACAGAAAAATATTAATTTGTTTTGGTTAGAGTTTGAGCTTAGATTTCATCAAGTAAATAATTTTTAAAGACAGATAACGATCTCACAAAATTGTGTGGTATGGATAATCCTGCAAGCCTATTTACATTATTACAATTTTTTTACCAGTTATTGTTTTTTTGGAAAAGTGATAACTCACTAGCTAAATCAGATATCAGCCTGTTTTGGATAGACCCAAGATTCAACAAGTTTCGAGATGAAGTTAACCAGACTCTCAAGGTCCTCACTGTCGGCAAATTCGTTAAGACTCATATGCACATTTCCGCCAAGGAAGGTGGATATTTGGTTTTTAATCTCAATCATCATTAATGAATCCAATCCTAGCTCAGAAAATTTTCGATTGATCCCACTGTTTTGGTCCAATTCAAGAACTGAAGATATAATCCTTTCGACATGGTTACGAATTACGGAAGTACGATCAATTTCGCTATTGCAGGCTTCAACCTCATGCCAAAACATTTCGGAGGTGACGAAGTCAATTTTTTTTAACCCATCCGTTTTTCCTTTCTGGCTGCCCTCTGATTCCAGGATATTTACTAAAAAGTTTTTAATCCAAGGAATTCGTTGTACCAATTTGGGAACATTCATTGCAACTGGACAAAGTTGATTGGACTTTGACTTTAAAGCAACTTCTAAGGCATCCAAAGCTTGCTTCGTGGAGATGGGGTGAAGCCCGGAAATATGTTGTCCCGCAGCTAGCCCAACTTCTCCCCAGTGTCCAAAGTTCAAAGAAATAGCTGGAAGGCCTAAAGCGTGTCGGTAATGGGAGAGTGCATCTAAGAATGCATTAGCAGCTGCATAATTCCCCTGCCCAGGAGTTCCAATTAGTGAAGTAATCGACGAAAAGAGTACAAAATGCTGGAGATCTAAATGTTTAGAAAGTTCATGAAGATTCCAACCTCCATGGAATTTTGGGTTCAGAACTTTCTCCAACGTTTCCTTGGTCTGGTTGAGGAATGTGGCATCAGACATAACTCCAGCGCAATGAAATATGCCTCGAAGTGGTGATTGAGGGAATTGCTCCGTTATCCAGGAAAATATAGATTCGCAGTCAGACAGCTTACTTACGTCGCCACATCTCCAAACGATGTTGTAGCCTAAATAACTCATTAAACAATGTGGTAATATAATAAATTAATTTTTGATAACTATCTTATACGAAACTCACCGCGATTTTTCAGCTCATTAATCTCGTCCTGGCGCTCTGAGCTTGGAATATTTCTACTCATTAGGACAATTCGATTTGCACCATTCAGCAACATCCATTTCATTAATTCCCAGCCTATTCCGCCACATCCTCCAGTTATGAGATAACTTCGTTGGTCACTAAATAGTGTATTTTCTTTGTCCGGCATACTAACAACTACTTTGCCAATATGTTTAGCTTTTTCCAAGAAGTGCATTGCATCCACTATTTCCTTGGAATCGAATCGAGTGTAAGGTAAAGGCTGCAATAATTCCGTTGCAACGGTTTCTAGGTGGGACATTAGGGTTGTATTTTCGGCTGAATAAGTAAAATCTTCAATGGAATATTTGACATCCGGCCGAAGTGAAAGGCAGTCTTCTTCTGTCCAAACGTTGATTTTACTCATTTCGACAAATCTAGAAAATTATTTAGAAACTATAGGCTTAAATATTTAGTGCTTACAGCAAGTGTACCTGCCCCCCTTCACAAGACAATTTAGAGATGCTTCCTTAAACCCCGCCCCTGTTAAAGAGTTAAGAACGATGTCCACCCCAGCTCCTCTGGTTGCAGCTTTTACGTCAGATTCGAATGACAAGTTCCTCGAGTTGAATACATGCTTTATTCCAATGATGTGCTTCAGGTACGCTCGTTTTCTCGCACTTCCCGCTGTGGCTATGACATTTGCTCCAACTGAATTTGCAAATTGCACAGCGGCTAGTCCAACCCCTCCTGAAGCTGCATGGATTAGGATTGTATCTCCTTTCTTCATCTTAGCAACAATGTGTAGGCATGGATATACGGTCAAGCCAACAGTTGGCAATGTCGACGCTTCTTCGTGGGTTAAGGACTGTGCTAACTTCGATACCATCTGCAGTAATTTAAATTCCGGCCGGGTTTCACCAAAGTATTAAAAATTGTAACATGTTGTTAAACATGGGGTACTTACTTTTTCAGAGGTGATAATATGCGAAGATAGTGCCACGTTTTGGTTATGACATCCAAACACCATATCCCCAACTTGGAACTTGTGTACGGCATTTCCAGCTCGGCTAATTTCTCCCGAAAAATCTGCTCCAATAATATCGATTTTGTCAAAGGTTTGTGATGGTTTTAGTACTGCGAATATATCACGAAAGTTCAACGAATAAGCTTTAACTTTGATTTCTAGTTCGGTATCCCCCAAATGAGCAACCTGATTCACGCCGATAAACTTTAGATCTGAAATCAGCTTTGAACTGGGAAGCTGTAGACGAAAACTTGGCGTTTGTGGTAGCTCAAGAAAGTGAGAAGGTTTAACCTTCATCAATTGTTGGGTTAGCCGAACTCCTCCTCTGTAGCAAATACTATTACCCCCACTTTCTGCGCTTGGGTTTTCAGATATTTCCTGAATAACATTTTCAATATTCTCGTGATTTAAGGTATCCAGATCAACCAATTTGCAATTTAGGCTAGAATTTTCGGATTTAAATGAACGAAACATTCCTATAAGTAAACTCGCCGTTGGCTGTTCCACGAACTCCTCAACATTCATCGAGACACATTGTGTCCCTTTGCTTAGAAGCAATAACTCCGATAAATTCATTGGAGTCGAGGCGATTGCTTGAAGTAGATAAAACCATTTTTCAATTATTGAATGATGTAAAATCGAGTTCAATCCCCACGCAAAGATTACTCCTTCAAATGTAGGAAATTGTGATAATATGTTCATGAATGCCTCCTTGCTGTCCCCCATCGTTTCAATATATTCGGTTGACATTCTTTTATTTGATCCAATTGCAACTAATGTAACAGTTGTCCCGGATGAGCTGAGCTGTTGCATCAAGTCTCTTGTGAAGGTGTCGTGCAATCCGAAAATCAGCCACTTTCTTGGTTGTTCCACTTTTAACGAAATTGGCATTGACAATTTTGGTACAATGGAATCTTCCCGCCACCCCAATTCAAACAATGTGGACCGTCTAATCCGATTAAGTCGGGAATTTAGCTTTTCGTCTAAGCTGGTCAATCTTGTTGGAAGAAGGTCAATTCCCTCCATTGACGCTAACGCTTTGCCGGTTGAATTGTATAAATGTATTGCTTGAGTTTCATGACATCTTTTAAGGTAGAATTGTAAAGGCGAATCAGTTTGTTCGTTAACGTGTTTCATATTGTAAACAGTTAGACGTCGAATTGCGACAGGAAGTAAAATGGCACCCTGAAAGGTTGATTTGTTTCTCACGGACATTATAGCAAACTGCAGCATACTGTCTAAGACTATTGGATGCACTATGAATTTCCCACCTGAAAAATAAATAAAAAATACTTACTGAGTGAGTCAACCAAAAAGAGACAAATTTGCTCGGTATGGAATTACCAACGTGAGTTTGGTCGAGTTTGCATTCTGCATACTCGTTTAATTTCTTATCAGCCCATCGAGTTTTAATGCTTATAAAGGCTGGTCCAAAATGATATCCTTCTGCGTCAAAGCTTTTGTATTGCTCCTCCATTGAGGGTGATGACGGTGTGTTGTTATTTTCGGATAATGGAAAGAGATCCTTAGCACCGTTTAAATTCTGCGACCAAGATTCAGTAATTGTACCCTCGGAATGTTGTATCCATATATCCGTATCCACAAGGCTGAAAATTTTAACTATATTGCCCTCCAAGACGGTGTGATACGTTGTTGCCTTTGCTGTAACAAGGCCGGGGTTGACGACACTAAAATTTTCAATTGTGAAATGGTCCAAATTTCGCCTGTCGCTGTCTAGTGTTAGGTAACGCGACGCCAAAGTCATCTCCAGAAACCCTGCGGCTGGAATTATTGTAAACTCACCGATACGATGATCCCCTATCCATTCGTTGGACTCAACCGATATAATATTTTCGTATCTCTTTACATTCATTTCCGAAGTCTGAGGTTGTGCTAACAGTCTACCAACAAGAGGATGCAACATGTTCTTCATTGCAGACGAGGAATAGTCGGCTTCAGACTTGAAGGGGAACCAATACGACTTCCTCTGGAAAGGATAGAACGGGAGGGAAACTTTTTTGATTTTGTTAAACCGGTTAATCTTTAAGTTTCCAGAAAGCCGTTTCTCATTCTACTTACATAAAAAACTGTTTTATATAAAAAAAACGGTTGTATCGCACTCGAAAATCCATTTTCGATTTTTCTTTTCAAAAATTCTTTTAGAGCCAGTAAATATTTACTATTAACTGTTTTTCGGATAAGAATTAATTGTTCTGAAGATTTTTTTCGAATTAATGCCTAAATTTAGGTATACTTTAAATTTTATTAGATAATATTTACCAGCTTTTTAAAATTTGGTGTACAACTGGATTACAAAAACCAGACGGAAAACAGATTTTTACGGAACTTTCAATAATTTGAAAAATCGATAACCCGTTTGCAAGTTCTTCCGGTATTGGGTGCCCTATTTGCTGGTTGTTGAGTAAGTACTTTGGTCAACAGCTCTGTTACACTTCGTTGCACAATTAGCGATCTGGGAATTTTTGGCCCCAAAATCACTTGCCCATTCACCCAACACTTGAGCCGGGATGAAATTCAGAAGTCGTCCAAGATTACGAAGTATAAAGTGAGATAATTTTTAATAGACTGGAAAATATATGCATTAGTAAGTTTGCACCTTGTAGATTTGGAGATTAAAAACTTTATATAAATAATGTAAGGAAGGTACCTTAAATAAATTGTGCCACATTGTACAAGGTGTTAGATACCTTATCCGGCTAAATATTTTATTTCCAGGTAAAGTTTCATGTGCATTGTAAGAAGTGGAAGACATTTAAATGCTAAGCCAACCAGAAATCCTGTCAAGGAAATTCCAACCAATTTACTCTTATTTGCTTCCTAAACTCGTAAATTGGATAAGCGTATAAATATATTTTTTCCTTTGTGGACATGCATATTATGACGTAAACGTACTTAGGTGACACCTTAAAAATGAGCTTAAATACCACCAGAAATATTAGAAATTGCCCAAAGTTTGCGTAATTGTGGATTTTAACTGGTTAGGCATTTGAATAAATTTAGCGTAGTACTTCATTTTTTTTTATTCTTAAGATCTTTATTCCTTATTCACAATTCTTGGTATTTATCTGTGTCCATGAGGAATCCTTTCGCTTCTACAGTTCATAAAAAAAGTATTCGTACCCTAAGCATAGGTTTAATGACGAAAGGGATTCGCTGATGCACTTTTCATAGTTGTCAGTTTAACCATGCTTCTGAAAAATTTTCATTGGAATTCACGGTTTTCCAACCTAAATTATCTATTTCGGTGATAAAAAATAACTCGGATTTTCATAATATACATATTTATTTATTTATGCATATACATATATTTTTAAACGAAAACACCCAGCGACATCACTACTCATAAAATGCCAGCGTAATCCCTGTGTGTTCGAATGCAAATTGCCCCATAGAGAAGACAAAGAAGGACGCGGAGTAACTACTGCATGAATGAATGCATGCACGAACATGCTGCTCCCTACTGCATGAGTCTGAACTTCATGTGACTTTCACGTACGTACACTTGCCATCAAACTCAAATTAAATGTTTTAATATATAAACACAGTGTGAAAGTAAATTGAGTGAGTGAGCAGTATACATCACTCATCAATAGTAGTTATCATGATAAGTGATCTTGATAAACACTATTAATTAATTATTTTAGTTTGAGAAACTCAACCCACAGCGAGTGGCATATCAATTCAAATGTATTTTTGACGCGGAATCCAATGCCGTAAATAGCTTGGCGTTAATTGTAGAAGTTAACGGGGTTTATAGAACTTAACGGGAGCATGAAGCGTGGGAATTTAAATAGTTAGATATGCAGTTACTCCCACGCGACGGGAATTTAAGTAATTAGCTATTCAACTACTCCCACAGGGGGAAATCAAATTGTGCTGTGACCAGATTAATTAAAATGCAGCATGACTTGGGCAAACCCTCACTCTGATGTATGTATGTGGTATGACAACGTCTCCACTGGGAATTATTTAAAGTATAGTACGACGGAATTTTCGCTTTGGGCACACCCCCCTATACGCTAGTTTACCAATAAAGTAAACTCACGTGCATGGACGAATATATAGATTACATTCTAAAATATTCTCCAATTTGCTTATCAAAAGTATTTACATATTAAGCGGTTAATCAAAAATAGCTCCGTTATTAATGCATGTTCAAGGTTTTTAAGACAATATTTAATATTCATAATTCCCTAAAACCAGGCTAAACTAGTTATGTATGCACTTTGAAAAAGCGTTATCAATTTTTTCAACAGACAGTAACCTATTTATGTATGTAGGTTTAGAACATCCTGCGAGAACAAAATTACTGACGAACTCTCTTAGAAATTCAGTAGTAAAAAGATAGCAAGCCTTTTCATATTTCATTCACAACTCTGAAAAGGTTGTCTTGATAAGTACTACTGTCTGGTAATAGTTGAATATTAAGTTGTACCCTATCGATAACAATTGTACGGACAGTAACAATATCAATGCCAATCAGTAGCAAGTTTAATACCGAGAAATCAATACATACCTAACTACAAAAATACACCCGATTTCTAAAAGTATGCATATATATTAGCTAAAAGCTCAGCCGACTACTGGGGAAATTAATTAACAAAACTCGTATCAAACAATATTGGTTTTTATCAGGCTGAAATTAATTTCTAAACTGATTTGATTTAAGAACAAGATAACGGCAAAAAAATTGTTAAAAGTCTGCGCCAAAAACTTCAGTTGAAAACAAGATGTCCACCACGCTTCGACTTTACCGAGTTGCAAATACGTACACAAACTTGTATCAACGCTTCCCTCAAGGTCCGGTTTCCTGGAATTCGAAACGGGCCGGATTTGTGGCGGGAAAATGGCGAAATGTCCTCCCCTGGCTGTTCCTTTCCTCCGGTTGGGTCATGTTTGGTTTAGGCCTAATTCCTAAGCTGGTGCAGGCCGTCTATCTCTACCTCTTGTACCGGAAACAAGGATTTATATTTCCAGCCGGAAATGAATTCGGGACGCCGCTCCAGCTCGTAACGATTGTCATTTTTTGCTTCATTTGTGGCGTAATTCCGGTCATAAATTTGGGAATATTTGTCGGAGCATGCATTATTGAGAGGATTTTTGACGCGATTATTCCACTTGAAGAAGCTCTTGCCGCCAGAAGTGGTACGTATATAGGGGAACAATGAGGCGATTCACGTAGGCTTTGGTAACGTTGTAAGCAAATTGAAAAATGAATAATTTGCAACGTTTCATTTTAAATAGATTTCAAATATTAGAAAGTGTTAAATTATTAAAAACCCAAAGATGAAAAATCGAACGAGAAGTTGGTTGGGAAATTAACAAATTAAATTTTGAAGGAAAGGTGAAAACCGATGACCTGGTGAAGAGAAGCGCAGGGGAAAATCGGAAAGCGGAGAGGTGAACTCCGTATAGCACCGCATGGTGAAAATACGCAATATAAAACCATCGCCATTTCGAGAATTGTGCAGAAGTGCTCAAGTGCCACACCAATTGTTGTTTGTGTTTAGTTGATTGATATGTTAGTGCTGGTTTCAAGAAGATCCGTGCGAAACATGTCTGACATGTGCATTGTTAGTTCCTCTGGTCCAGATAATAGGGCTTTATCCGTCGTTATTGCAATCCCCATTTTCCCAATATAACTAATACTTATTATCTCGATCGAGCAGTGTCTCTGCTGTAAACCACAAATTGGTACGAGAAGCTCGACCCGATTGCCAAATAATTCGAATGGATTCTCCTTAAAAGCGGAAAGATTGGAATGAACTAAACTCCCAAAGTTTGGAATTCTCAAATCCTTTTGCAAACTCCCACTGATTAGTGCGCCTGCTCTATGAAATGCGGTGATTCCGAGGAGAACTGTCGAATTGAAAAGGTGACGAAATTGCTGTGAAATCTGGGTCAATCTTTGATCAATTTTCTCCTCCGAGAGTGGAATTCTTAGTGGGACCCCGAGTCTGAAAATCAATACAAATCGACACGTACATATTACGTAATTGTAGTGTTAATATCTATTTAAATATTAAGTAGTTAAGCCCCTTTATAAGATTGATATATCTGTCTGTCCGTCTGTCTGCGCCATAACATAACTCAAGAACACATATTAGACTAGTGGAAGGGTCTTGGAAATCGTGATTTAGCGTTACATAATTGATTAACGGCCCCTAATATATAGGTCTACTCACTGATTATTCATCATAGTCCCGGGATGACTAGAAATTGGACTGGGCAGCATGTACAGGGATGTCGCATCTTTCCCTAAATTCCCTTTTCTTTCCTTCATAATTCTCCTCACAGAACCAGCCATACCGGCGGACAGAATGCACGTGATATTTGTCCCGATTCGGCGGGAAGTCTGCTTGAGGCTAGTCATATCCATGGCGGCGGGATTTTGATACCGCACCAAATCGCCACTCCGCTCGCACACCTGTTCAGAGAACGTTGGTTTACTATAAAATGCATTCAGGTTGAATAGAAAAATTATTCATTCATTGCCCATTTATTCAATGGCATAAAATACATATGTATTTTATTATTTTATTCCTTTATTTAGTAGCTTCAGCTACTTTGTGTGAAGACTTTGTCCTTCTCTCCGTCCGTCTGTCCGTCAGCAGTATAACGAGTGAACGGATCGAGATAATTGAAATCGGTTTGCAGCATCATACATACATATGACCCCAAGGGGAGGACCTTTGGGGGTTCACACCGGCACCAGGGGATGTGGTCAACGCAGAATGAGATTTTTAGCGCAATTTAATCTGCAGAGGAAATAGAGTAAAATTTGGTGTCCCTGACTTGTACCACACCCCATTGACGCCAGGGGATGTGGTCGGGGCAAAATGAGATTTAAAAAAATTAAAGTACAGATGGAATAGAGTAAAATTAAGTGTTCCTGCGATGTCA